CATAATATCTTAACCTCCTCTGCTGCCAGTTCCAGCAATGTCTCCTCTCTACTTCCTCCCAACTCACCCAAAACTTTTATAGGTGACATCACTTCCTGTCTGTTTTCCATAGAGACTTCCTGTGTGGGTATAGGTGAGATCTCCACCTTGTGGAGCTCAGAGGAACTGCAGCCTTGTGCTGTGTGTTCTCTATAGATGGGTCATCTCCACTCCCACCGAGAGCGATAGAAATATAGGACTGATGGGGATCAGTGGAGGGATTTCGGCTACTTACCTATCTTGGTGAAAACCTTCCCATTGTGGCTTTGTAAGCCCCCATTCATCCATAGAAGACTCAGGCAGTGGTGAAACGGGGTGATGTGGGTCACCTCCTCCACTGTGGGTGAGAGGCGTATATCTGCGCTGCCATTGACTAGATGGCACTGCCACGCCCCAGAACATGGGAGGGTATGCTTATGTTATCTTGTGCGTTCAGGGCACGGAACGCACTGGATGAGGTATGAATAGGCCCCGCAAGGCTGTCTGTCCCTTACCACTGCTAATTGATTCAGTGTACTGTTCTAACGGAGACTCCTATGATTCTTTACCTCTTATAATACAAGGAAGGATGGTGACAGATGAGGTCTTACTAATGCTTTGTATACCGCAGATTACACCTCTCTCTCTCTCTGGAGTCTATACCTCTTATAATACAAGGATGGATGGAGACAGATGAGGTCTTACTAATGCTTTGTATAGGGGTAGATCACGTCTCTCTCTGATACCTCTTATATTACAAGGATGGATGGAGACAGATGAGGTCTTACTAATGCTTTGTATAGGGCAGGATTACGTCTCTCTGTCTCTGGACTCTATACCTCTTATAATACAAGGAAGGATGGAGACTGAGGAGGTCTTACTAATGCTTTGTATAGGGCAGGGGTCTGCAACCTGCGGCTCCGGAGCCACATGTGTCTCTTTCATCCCTCTGCTGTGGCTCCCTGTCCAGGGGCGGAACTACTGCCGGGGCCTCGGGGGGCCTGAGGCTGTGGGGGTGCCCGAGGCTGTGGGGGTGCCCAGTGAGGTCCGGTCCTGGGCACTTCTATCCGACTTTGTGAGTGGGGTGGAATGCGAGATCGCACTCACAGATCGGATAGAAGTGACATTTCAGGACCGATCAGCTGTTCCGGGGGGCTGATCGGTTCTTCTGCACATACGATTTGCGTTTCCCATCTGCCCCGGAACAGCTGAGAAAGCCTTGGAATGCTTCACCTATGGCGGTCACACATACCACCCCTAAAAAAAACTGGGCGGGATTACATTGAAATGTGTGACACATTGTAACGTAGTCACAAACTTTGATAGAACACTGTCATCAGGGGGGTACAGCCGGTACCCACGTGAGGGGTCTGGGCAGCCTTGGGGGCCTCTTACATGAGTATCAGCTGTACCAGGGGGCGGCATGGCAGAGGTGACGGGGGAGGGGGTGGAGGAGGCCGGGCCCCAGCAGCAGGTAAGAGGAGTTGGGAGGAGGTACAGGGAAAGGGACCCAGGCGACCACCGAAGGGCTGCTGTACGCGATATTCACTATAGCCCGTACAACGGCCGAGCCAAAGGCATATGCTTCAGCACGACTGAGCCTGAAGTGACAGCCGAACCTGGGCAAAGGCCGCCCATTTGCCCCCCGCAAATGGCTGGCTCCGCCCAGTTGTAATAACAGATCAGCGTCCCCAAAGGACCGGGGGACGCTGATCTGTCACTAAACAATAACAACCGGGCCGGAGCCGGCCATGAAGTAACGGCCGGCTCCGCCTAGTTGTCATTCATCGGCTGGGACCTGCTAGAAGCCTCTAGCAGGTGGTGGCCAATGGGATACAGTGGAGGGGATGCTTGGACTTGTAGTTTCCCCATGGTGAGACACACAGGTGATATCAGTGGGGGGGATGCTGGGACTTGTAGTTCTCCCATGGTCAGACACACAGGTGATATCAGTTGGGGGATGCTGGGACTTGTAGTTCCCCCATGGTCAGACACACAGGTGATATCAGTGGGGGGATGCTGGGACTTGTAGTTTCCCCACGGTCAGACACACAGGTGATATCAGTGGGAGGGTGCTGGGACTTGTAGTTCCCCCATGGTCAGACACACAGGTGATAACAGTGGAGAGGATGCTGGGACTTGTAGTTCCCCACGGTCAGACACACAGGTGATATCAGTGGGGGGATGCTGGGACTTGTAGTTCCCCCATGGTCAGACACACAGGTGATATTAGTTATTTGGAATTAGAGTGCTGCCAGCAGTGAGCGGAGTTCCCATTTCATGTCACCTCTCAGCATATGGAGGTCAGAAGAATGATTGGTCGGCTCCTCTCACCTTGTTAGATCTGCCCATACATCCTCCGTTCAGATTGTTTGTACTTACTGACAATATCTATAGAAAGGTGACCCGTCCAATCACAGAAGGTTCTGGAACTCGGCACTGGGAGCGTCCAACGTCTTCCCCATAAGAAGAGCAGAAGTGAGAAGAGACGATTTTCTGCCTCGTCTCTAATAATAGCCTTCCGCATTCCAGGAGGAGGGGGGGAGGGGATTATCTACTAACACAACACACCTCCACCTGCGGAGACAGTTCATCAATCGTGTCACAACACATCGCTGGGTGCGTCCAACTCCCTCCTGAACAAGTCTGAACCTCACCCTCAGTATGTGCGTGCAGAAGAAGAAATTAATGTCCCACCGGGAGGAGAGAAGATCCATCACAATCATCCTTCTAGACTTACACTCAATGTCAGTCTGCAGCTTCCACATCCAGACACATCCTTCTGGAGACATTGGGGGTCATTCACTATGGAAGGGAAGCGACCCGAACGCTGCTCTGCTATTCACTTCTGGCTCGTACGGCTGATTTCATCCCAACATAGTTACGTAGTATCTGAGGTTGAATAAAGACACAAGTCCAACCCATTGCGTGTGTGTGATTGTACATGTGTGTGTATGCCAGTCCCCGTGTGGTCTAGTAATTTAAGTAAGTAGAAGTAAAGCTAAAAAACGATCTATGACGTGTTATTTTCATTTTATTTTTTTTTCCTGTGGGAAACGGGTCCAAATGGCTCTTTGACTCTTTGAGTGTTTAAGGTCGCTGACCCCCTGGTATAGGCGATAGATTACATCTCTCTCTGGAGCCTATACCTCTTATAATACAAGGAGGGATGGAGACAGATGAGGTCTTACTAATGCTTTGTATAGGGCAGATTACATCTCTCTCTGGAGCCTATACCTCTTATAATACAAGGAGGGATGGAGACAGATGAGGTCTTACTAATGCTTTGTATAGGGCAGATTACATCTCTCTCTGGAGCCTATACCTCTTATAATACAAGGAGGGATGGAGACAGATGAGGTCTTACTAATGCTTTGTATGGGGACAGATTATGTCTCTCTCTCTGGAGTCTATACCTCTTATAATACAAGGAGGGATGGAGACAGATGAGGTCTTACTAATGCTTTGTATGGGGACAGATTATGTCTCTCTCTCTGGAGTCTATACCTCTTATAATACAAGGAGGGATGGAGACAGATGAGGTCTTACTAGTGCTTTGTATGGGGACACACAAGTTTGCGGATGACACCAAAATTGGGAGGGTAATAGACACGGACTTAGACACTATAACATTACAGGAGGACCTGGATAAAATAGGGGAGTGGGCATTAATGTGGCAGATGAGGTTTAATGTCGATAAATGCAAAGTAATGCACTTTGGAATTAAAAATAAACAAATGGGTTATACAATTATGGGGGTGCCGCTGGCGAAGTCAGAAATGCAGAAGTATACAGGGGTACAGGTAATATACAGGGGTACAGGTAATATACAGGGGTACAGGTACTCCTAGAATGAGATCCTAATAGGTTGGACTTGATGGACTAATGTCTTTATTCAACCTCAAATACTATGTAACTATGTAACTATGACAGATTATGTCTCTCTCTCTGGAGTCTATACCTCTTATAATACAAGGAAGGGTGGAGACAGAGGAGGTCTTACTAATGCTTTGTATAGGCCAGATTACGTCTCTCTCTCTCTGGAGTCTATACCTTAAAGAGAAATAGATTTAATAACACAGAAATGCAAGGAGATATCATGATTTAAATATGGATAATTATTTATTCTTTATTTGATTCATACAAAAAAAAGAGTTACATATTTTAAATCTGAAATGTTTAATTTGAAGATGTCGTATTTTCCACTTTCCTCCAGCAGGGGGCTCTCCCAGCCAATGAAGCTGCCTGTGCAGACCGATCACTACTGCAGTGATACTGTCAATCCTGTTGTGTAGTCTGATCTCCCCTTCTCTTCATCCACAAGCTCCTCTCTCACCATGATGTCTTCCTTTGAAGGGAGATCAGACTACACTGCTAGAGGGACTCAAGCAGCAGTGACCCCCCCCTAGCAGAGGAAGCCAGATACAACTTTGAAGTCTTTAGTCAACTCTAATTTGCTTATAAAGATCAGAGAGCTCAGCCACGTGTTTTCAGAGGTGTATATCAACCTGTGCTTCTTCCCAGTCTCAAATCTCTGTTCAGCCATACAGAAGACATTTTCCGCACTCCGGACACGAATAAACCTTAACAAATATGTGAGTTCTCTGATGTTTGTTAAGACTTCTTATAAAGATCAGAGAGTTCAGCCACGTGTTTTCTGAGGTGTATATCAACGTGTCAGATCTCTGATGACTCATATAGAAGAAATTTCCCACACTCAGGACACTACTACACCGCCAGTGTTGTGTGGGTTCTTATAAGACAAGACTTCTGTGAAAAACATTTCCCACACCGAGGACAGCCATACAGCTTTTCACCTGTGTGCAATCATCTAAACGTGGGTCCTCTTGAAACAAATTCCCGCAGTCAGGGAAGCAGTATGATTTCTTCCACTGTGTGAGATCTTTGATGTTTAATAAGATCTGATTTCTGAGCATAGCATTTTCCACAATCAGGGCAGGAATACGGCTTCTCGCCCGTGTGCACTCTCTGATGGACAGAAAGATTGGCCTTCTGCAAAAAACTTTTCCCACACTCAGGACAGGAATATGGCTTCTCACCTGTGTGCAACCTCTGATGTCTAGAAAGCTTGGCCTTATCTGCAAAACCTTTCCCGCACTCAGGGCAGGAGTACGGCTTCTCCCCTGTGTGAGATCTGTAATGTATGTCCAGTCTTGACTTACGAAAAAAACTTTTTCCGCAAACAGGGCAGGCATACTGCTTTTCGCCCGTGTGCAATTTAAGATGTCTAGAAAGACTGTTCTTTTGTGAAAACAGTTTTCCACAGTCAGGACAGGAATATGGACTCTCCCCTGTGTGTGATCTTTGATGTGCATCAAGTTCTGATTTGTATGTAAAACAGTCTCCGCACTCGGGGCAAGAATACGGCTTCTCGCCCATGTGCACTCTTTGATGTAAAGTAAGATTGGACTTCTGTGTAAAACTTTTCCCACACTCAGGACAGGAATATGGCTTCTCGCCTGTGTGCAATCTCTGATGTCTGGAAAGGTGGGACTTCTGTGAAAAACACTTCCCGCAATCAGAGCAGAAATACGGCTTCTCCCCTGTGTGAGATCTCTGATGTTTGACAAGTTCAGATTTCTGTGGAAAACCTTTCCCACACTCAGAACAGGAATACGGCTTCTCGCCCGTGTGAGACCTCTGATGTGTGTTAAGATGGGACTTCTCTGAAAAACGTTTCCCACACTCGGGGCAGGAATACGGCTTCTCGCCTGTATGCAATCTCTGATGTACAGAGAGCTGGGCCTTGTCCGAATAAGATTTATCGCACTCAGGGCAGGAATACAGTTTCTCCCCTGTGTGAGACCTGTAATGTATCTCCAGTTTGGACTTACGAAGAAAGCGTTTCCCGCACTCAGTGCAGGAAAACGGCTTCTCGCCCGTGTGTAATCTCTGGTGTGTGGAAAGGTGGGACTTCTGCGAAAAACACTTCCCACAGTCGGGACAGGAATACGGCTTTTCCCCCGAGTGAGATCTGTAATGTATGGTGAGGGCTGTTTTATGAAGAAAACATTTCCCACACTGAGGACAGGAATGAGGCCTCTCAGCAGGATTCCATGGTCTATCCACACTGTGAAGTCCACCATCCATAGCTGAGCTCATTGTCCTCATCATTCCATCCTCCGCTATGAATGTCCTGGTCATTCCATCCTCCCCTATGAATGTCCTCATCATTCCATCCCCCTCTATGGTTGTCCTCATCATCCCGGCCTCCTCTGTATATCGCTGATCATCCCTCACATACGTCTCTTCTTCTTCACCCTCAACTTTCATCTTCATCAGATCTTCACCCTAAACCAACAGAACGGCAGAATATATTAGCTGTACAAATAGGACTCACCGTAAAATTATTCTCTCTGCGTTCCTTGGAGGACACGGCGAGGATGAAGATCGTAGATCTGGAACCACGGGGATGTCCCCAAGCAGAGGAAGGAGATGGGCGGGCTAAAAAATAACAGTCGCCGACAAAGAAGCAAGCATGACTAAAGCGCCTCCGGCAAACCCTTGTGCCGAAAACTTGACAACACATCAACTTTATAGGACTCGGCAAACGTGTGAACAGAAGACCACGTGGCTGGGTGGCCGAGGCACTGTGACCAAAAGCCCAGGACGGGGGCCAACTGGCCTAGTGGAATGGGCAGTGACGGGCAAAGGTGGTTCTCAACCCCTAATACTGAACAATAGCATTCTTGATCCACCTTGAAATGGTGGTGGAAGAGGTGGCCTTGTCATCTTATGAGGACCTTCTGTGATGACACAAAGATAATCTGTCCAATGAGAAGACGCCGTGGGGTTTCCATAAACCCAAAGCACCCTAACCACATCCAGGCCATGAAGGGCCCTCTTCTCCTTGCGATGAACTGGCTTTGCCCAAAGTTCAAAGACTTTTATCAAAAAAGGAGATTCCTTCGATGCTCACCGGCCCCGAGTTGACCAGGACCCCAGAACGTCTCCCCAACCGAGAAGGTTGGCACAAGTCATCACCACCATCCAGCACAGCGGTAGGAAGGACTTCCCAGTTAGAAGAGCTGGAGAGTGAAGCCACCATAGTAGAGGAACCCGCCGGCAGTCCAGAGCCACTAGTGACCGGAATCCCCCCAGGATGAAAGACGGGACCCTGAGAAAGAAGATCTGGCCAGAGCAGCAGATGCCAGGCGGACTATGTCTCTGTACTAAGATCTCCGCAGGTAGTCCAGGGCCACTAGAGTGACCGGAATCCCCTCGGCCTCTATACTGCAAAGAAGACGTAGCAGCGGGTAAGAAAAAAAAACAGAGAGTGCCGGCCCCGTGGAGGCACTAGAACATCCGCTCAGGGATCCTTGGTCCTGGCCACGAATCCTCCACCTTCCTGTGGAGGCGAGACACAGAAGATCCACATCCAGGGTCCCCAACAAAGACAAATCTGATGAAACACCTCTGGACCACTCCCCTGGATCCAAGGACTGGTGACTGAGGTAATCGGCTTGCCAGATGCTGACCCCGGGAATGTACACTGGGAAGAGAGCCAGAACGTGTCTCTACACCCAGAAGAGAATATCGTACAGTTCCCTCGCCACGGCTAGGCTTCTAATTAGTGATGTAGGCCAGTGCCGTGGCAGTTATCCGACTGGACCCTGACTGGGAGACCCTGGAGATAACTGGTCCAGTGGAGAAGAGATAGACGTATCGGCCAAAGTTCCAACACATCAGAAGACGAGATTCCTCCAACGTCCACAAGCCCTGAGTTGACAAGGACCCTAGAATTCCCACCCACCCCAACCAAAGGAGGCTGGAACCCATCATCACCACCGTCCAGTGGAGCGGGAATGACTTCCCAGTTAGCAGATCTGGAGAGAGAAGCCACCATAATATAGAGGCCCACGTTGCTTGACTCACTCAAATTTCTTTATCCAGCCACAAAAGAGACTTGTCCCAATGGGATAGAATGTCCCTCTGCAGGACCCTCGTATGATGTTCTGCATAAGGGACCTCTTCGATGGAAGCCACCATCGGGCCTGATACCTGTATACAGGAGCGGATCGATGACCATTTGTGAGAGCGCAAAAGACTGACATGAGTTTCAAGCTTCTGATGGAGGAAGAAGCACCCTGGGCAGGGTGGTGGCCAACACAAGACCCAAATATTCCAGGCGAGGAGAAGGAACCAGGGACGACTTCCTGAATAATCTAACTGAACTCCTCCAGAGTCCCGACCATAATGGCGAGGTTGGCCACCATTTCAGAGTGAGATTCGGCTCTCAGCAGAAGATTGTCCAGATACCCCGCAATTGAGATTCCCTTGCACTTTGGTGAAAGCCCAAACGGAAGGGCCACAAACTTGGTCCTCCCCCAAAAGGGAGAAAACACTGATGCCTGAGACAGATTGGTGGCGCATGTAGTTACGCATCTTCGTCAGTCGAAGGTCCCCCTGCGGGAGAGATGTCACCACTGAATGAATGGATTCCATTCCCAACTTGTGCACTCACTCAAAAGGTGTTTAGTCCCCTGAGATCCAAATTGGGATGAACACTCTCCTTTTTGGGGAACGTGATCAAGTTTGAACAGAAACCCCGGAATCTCTCGGAGCACGGTACTGGAGTCATCACCCCCCCCGGATCAAGAGATCCGTGACCGCTGGATGTAGGTTGGGGAGACAGTCACAGATCTGAAGGAAACAAACCTGCCCTTTGGATGAGACAGGAACTCCACCTTGTAGCCGGGAGACACCAGTTCACGTACCCTAGTCCTGAACATGTGACAGCCACAGAAACCCCAAAGGTGACCCCCTCCTCCACCCTGAGAAGCAGAGGTGGGGGCAAACCTTCATGTGGAGGAAGGCTTAGAAGACTTGGCCTGCCAGGGACTTTTGGAATTAGCGGAGAGACAGAGGACTTGGCACGTAAGCCTTAGTAACCTCCGAAGAGTCACGGCCAGAAACTGGCAATTAGGGATCAGGATCAGTCAGGATCAGTCCACAGACATACGGCAAACCCTACACCAGTCGTTCCGCTACTTTGACATAAGCAGGAGGACCTCAGCATTAGTAAGACCCTGATGTTACAGCTTGGCCCACGCCATTGAGAATGATACGCTAAAGCCGAGGCCAAAAATTGACCCATTAAAGTTCCAGAAACGGCCTAGAAGGTGCCAATGCCTTCCTGTCCATTGGATCCGGAAAGGAAAAGGAGTCTTCCACCAGAATGACCGTAGCCATGTACAGACGAGACTGGAAGGTCCACCACTGGAGGTGAGGAACACTTTTTTTTAGGAAAGATTCCTCCAAAGGATAGGGGACCAAGAAACATTTGGGAACTAAGGACACAACCCCCGGCACCATTGTGAAGGCCGACACCAGGTTGGCTGACACCGGGGTTCGCCATTGGTGGTGGTTCTTCAACACCAGAGTGGGGTACTGTGACTGGTCAGCCGAGACCCCAAATCATATCTACCACCAACAGTGGTATGTTAGTGGCAGCCCAGATGCCGCTGGCCAACATGGGGTACTGTGACTGGTCGGCCGTGACCCCCGGTCATGTGTACCACCATAGAAAAATATTGCTTACCCTCGGGCTGCTCTACCAAGAGAGCTTCCGTGGTGGGGATCTGCATGTGATCACGGGCCAGGCAAGGGTCTACGGACATCCAGTGGGTCATAACTGAAGAGTCAGAACAGGTGGTCCTAACTCCTGACTCTAGGCAAATAACTGAGGTTAGAGTCACCAGGCAGGGGGGATGACCACTAGCAGGGGACGTCCCAAAGCTGTTTTTTGCCTAGCGTCCTACTCCTGCAGGAGGCGCTATAACCCAGCGAGTCTTAGGTCCAAAGGTAAGGTTGTAGTCAGCAGGTATGGGGGGATGACCACCAGCAGGGGCCTCCCCAAGGTTGTTTTTTTTGTTCTTTTCAGCCTCGTGTTCTACTCCTGCAGGAGGCGCTATAACCCAGTGGTTCCAGATATACGCTCCTCTCCTTGCTGTGTCCTTCAAATCAACAGAAGAGAAATAGAAGTATTTATGGGATCACAAAGAAGATACTGAATATCTCCGCATGTCAGAGCGTCCCATCACTTCATGTTCCAGACCCTCCACTCCACCCACCTGATCATGGTGGGGGATGGTGGGATCTCCAGTCTAAATATTAAATAAAAACATACATTGTAACAAACATGGCTGTCTATAGAGCATCGCTACCAACTGTCCATCATCTACCTGATCATGGTGGGGGATGGTGAGATCCTCCTGGGTGGAATCCCGGGAATACAGAGGACGGGGACATCTCTCTGGTGGGTTCCTGTTGTTGGGTGGCTCCATCAGATCCTTGTGTCCTTCTGAGATCTCCATCACCCCGTACTCCTCATCCTCCTCTTTATACTCTTCTTTAACAACGATATTATAATCCCCGAAGTCTCCACTCTGAAGATATAATAAAACATTAATTGTAACAAACATGGTTGTCTATAAATCATCACTACCAATTGTTCATCATCATCTACCGCATCATGGCGGGGGATGGTGAGATCTTCCTGGGTGGAATCCCGGGAATACAGAGGACCACCTTCCTCCATAGACTGCTGATCTCCACTTACCAACGTCTCTTCTTCTTCTTCCTCTTTAACTTTAAAGTCTCTCAGGTCTTCACCCTGAACCCCAAAGATGAGAGAATAGGTAAAGAGGAGAGCCAATAATATCATCTCATGATCTCAATAATACCACCAGTGATGGTTCATCACCCACCTGATCATGGTGGGGGATGGTGAGATCTTCCTGGGTGGGATCCTGGGAATACAGAAGGCGGGGACATCTCTCATGGTGGGGGATGGTGAGATCTTCCTGGGTGGAGTCCCGGGAATACAGGGGGCGGGGACATCTCTCTGGTGGGTTCCTCTTACTGGATCCATCTGTAGGAAACACACACACTGACTGAATACATTGTTTCTATGTGTGTATCAGATGATGGGGGATGTAGGCGGAGCCTCCGTACTGCTCTCTCCTCTTACCCGGTGATGTGAGGGGCGGGGCATTCTCCATCACCACGTCCTTGTAGAGATCCCGGTGTCCTTCTAGATACTCCCACTCCTCCATGGAGAGATAGACAGAGACATCCTGACACCTTATAGGAACCTGACACACACAATGATACCGTCACCACCCAGACACGCCCCTTGTCTGTTCCTGGATCATGTCCCAGAATTCCCGGCACCGCTCACCTCTCCCGTCACCACCCAGACACACCCCTTGTCTGTTCCTGGATCATGTCCCAGAATTCCCGGCACCGCTCACCTCT